AAAAAAAAGAAATTAATTCTTTCCACTCAGAGGAGCCAGTGTTCTATAGGGTGAGAGACCTACACCTTTTCCATCTTGCTTTTCCTCCCCCTTGTAAAGGGGGAGGTGGCTATTACTAACTCACAATATAAGGGCCTGCCTACATTCTTCCATTATGCCTGAAGTTCAGGCAAGAACTAAGATAGGTATATCCTTCTCTTCAAGGTAATTCTTACTTTGGGTCATATCCCATAGCCACATATAGCTGCAAGGGAAGCGGGGGTCTACAAACTCCTGGGTCCAGTGGAAGAGTTGGAATTTGTAACTGGGGAAGAAAACGTGGTGCCTGCATAGAGTGACCTTGCTGCTGTAGCTGCAGCCATTGGGTTATACCGAACTGAGATTCTGGTTTTGACTATAGGCAGCCTGCTTTGTATAATTGCTGAATAACTTTTAATGTCACGAGCAGTGTTTTCCTGGACTTTAATTTAGCCTTTAAAGTTACCCCTCACCTTTACTCCACCAGATGATCATTTATATTGCAGGTTCTCTGCCAGTGCATCCTATTGATCAGCACCTCAAACTTTGCCGCTCCTAAATTAAAAACTCCCAGTGTAAGAGAGAACGCGACTTTTCGTGGCGTGAAATGTCTCTTTGCTTCAGGTGAAGCACAGCCAAGGGAAACAGTAAAATAAGTGTATTGATTGCACATAGACACAGGCTCCCTCTGAATGTCCTCACAGCAGTCTGGAGTGAGTCAGCACTTTGTTGTAGGTGTTTGGAGGGTTCTGGGACATTGAGATATTTTCCAAAGAGATCTACCAGTCAGTGTTTACTAAAGTCACTCTTATACATTAAAAAGTGAAATGCATGGGGCTGGAGAGATAGCTCAGCAGTTTAGAGCACTGGCTGCTCTTGTAGAGGACTCATATTTGATTCCCAGCACCTACATGGTGGCCTACAACTATCTGCAACTAAAGTTCAAGGAGATCTGACATCTTCTGACCTCCTAGGGCACAGACATACATGCAGGGAAAATACCCACACATACAATATAAAATAAATCTAAAACAGCTTTTAAAATGACATTCACGGGGCTGGTGATATGGCTTGGTGGTGAAGATCATGTACTGCTCTTACAGAGGAGCTGAGTTCAGTTCCCAACACCCATGTTCAGCAGCTTACAACTACTTACTTCAGCTTTAGGGGATCTGATGACCTCTTCTGGCCCCTGGGGACCACACACACACACACACACACACACACACACACACACACACACGTCTGTTGACAATATCAGGGCATGGATTTTGACAAGTGAGTGTTAAATATAGACTAGAATTATACAATTATACTCTGGACAGACCTCATAGGCCATCCTAATGAGTTACTGGGTTAGTCCAAACAAAGGCTAATACATCAGTGAGTGCAGGATAAGACATCATCATTAACTTGGGTACATTCTCCATGTGTGTATGCTCACACTTGAGTGTGGTTTACTGTGAAAAAGTCAAACTCACAGGTTTTTCAGCAGTTGAGAGCTGAAGCAGGCAGTGCCCATTCTGATAACAGAGTTAGTTTCTATTTTTTTTAAAGATTTATTATTATTTTTATTTATGTGTATGTGCATTGCCCATTGTGGCCAGAAGAGGGCATTAGATTCACTGGAGCTGGAGTTCCAATGTGGGTTCTAAGAACTGAACTCACTTCTTGCGCAAAAGCAGCATTTGTGTTCTTAATCACTGAACTGAGCTGTCTCTCCAGCACCTGGAGTCAGGATCTTGTCTTTGGACTTGATAAGGAGCTTTTGAGTG